GCGTTCCATCTCGACCCCCCCTGCGTCCCAGGAATCGGTGCAGGCGGTGGGAGGGGAAGCAGAACCAGGAGCAGAACCAGAGACGTCGTCTCCGGAGATTGAGGCCCAGCCGAGGCCAGCAGCCAGAAGGGTCTCCCTCGCAGTCCTCCATACGTACCCACAGTTTCCTCCAGTCATATGTGAGGATCCTCCCTTGTGGCCTCATTTTCTTCTATTTTCATAAACTACACACGCTTGTTTTAACCTCTGCTTTATTTAGTGGAATACATGCAAGAGTACTGGGTCCATTTAAAGGGCTCATCGGCCACGAAGAAGCATCAGGAGAACCAAAAATCGAAGGTTGGGCGCATCATGCAGTTTCTAGCTTTCCTGTCGGAGGGTCGGACGAGTCTGGGGAACTGGATGTTCCTCAACAACGTCAAAAAGATCCACAAGTAAGCTTAAAGCCTTCTCCGATGTGGATCCCCACTTTTGTCCGTCTAATATTGAACCTTTTAATGCTTAAAGCTTTTTCCGATTTCGATGCACACTTTTGTCCAGCTCATACTGAACGTTTTAATGCTTAAAGCTTTCCCTATTTCGATGCACACTTTTGTCCATTTAATGCTGGGCAGGTTTCCAGAGCATCTCATGGCTGAGGGGAAAGCGGTAACCACCATCCGAGCATACCACGTCAACATAGCTGAATTCATCACGTTCTTCCGGGACACACCACCGGCATCCTCCAGAATGTCCCGGGCTGCCATGTTTGCGGTTGCTCGCGCCCTGTCTGCGATCATCTCGAGGCTGGGGAGGCGTGTGGTCATTCAACAGATCCGAGTTAAAAAACAAAAAATCAGCACTGCGATTCCCAGGGAGGCTCTCAGAAGGTGCCAGGCCCTGGCCCGGCAAAATATTCCAGATATTCTCGGTAAGTCTCATCAGAGTTCTGGACATTAAGTAACACTAGCTCGTGCTTCAGACTGTCCCACAGCTAACCCTCTAATGTGTTTAGCTGCACTGGCCACCAAGGCTAACCCGGAGACAAGGAGGAGGTTTTACGGCTACTTCAGCGCCTATGTGGCCAGCCTTTACGGGCACAGAGCGGGGGTCCTGAAAAACATGACCGTGTCAGAGGTCCGCGAAGCCCGCCAGGAGGGCGGTACTGGAGAGCAGGGGGGCTTCGTGATCAATGTAAGTGTACCGATGTTGCACTCATAGACACAGCCTATATTCACCTGTGTCCCAGACATACGTGGTCACCGATGGATGTTTCCATGTGTCCAGTGACTTCCACCCTGCTTTGCTCTGCAGGTCAAGGAGCACAAAACGAACCGGGCCTTCGGACCGGCACAGATCTTCCTCACGTCAGAGGAATACTCCTGGATCGAGCGGTGGGTCGACATCCGGGACAAGCTGCAGCCTAAAACGGATCGCGTCTTTTTCTCGGGGAGCCATGGTACGATGGAGAAGCTGCTCGGTCCAATGCAAGCGGCGTGGGCGGATATGGGGTTACCCGGATGTCCTACGTTCACCCACTTCAGGACAACTATTGCGACTTATGTAAGTGATTTTATTTATTTATTTAAAAAAAAAAAGTAAAGTATTTAACAACTTTCTCCATTTTTTTGTGTTTTTTTTCTCCAGGCCAGAAACGTTCTCTCTCCAAAGTCTCGTCAGATAATATCTAAAACAATGTGCCATGACACGTTAACGGCGGACAAATACTACTCTCTCCACCTGGATGCTGCTCAACTTTCGGAGATCCGGGAGAAGTTTGAGCTTGCCACCCAGCCATCTGGGGACCCTGATGAGGATGACTTTGTGTCCCACCCACAACAGGGTCTCCTAGCCATGTCGGAGTCCTCCAGCGGAGAAGAACAAGAGACCGGGGGGAAAAAAACAGGAAAAAGGGTATGCTATTGGCATAAAGTGTCTGCCATACACAGAGTTTAACATGTATTAATTTGTGGTTTTTTTTTCTTTGTATTTCAGAAACCCAACAAGGCCCAGGACACTACGTCGGAA